ACAACAAGGAACTGGTCATTTCACCCACGAGTGGCAACACGATAGGTTAGGTTGGTGAAAAAGATGGAAAGAAAAGGATGGAGTGCGACCGCATGGTATTGGGCCAGCATGCACCTCGAAGAAAGTCCAAAGACTTACCTTAAAGCCCAAATCGGAAAGCGCGTTGGTTCCACGTGCCTGGACGAAAGTACAACTCGCACTAGTAACCCATCTTCCGGCGTAAATAAAACCCCGCAAACGCGCGTGGCGGGAGCATAGACAGAGTGAGAGACACAAGGTCCCGGCGCATGCGCGCTTTCTGTGTGTTTGGTTTGGCTTTGGCTAAACAAAGCCCTCTTTGAGCTGAGCGTCCCATCACAATCAACGGTTGGGCCCCCATGCATCTCCTGGGCCCCAGCCCTCCCGACCCTCAGTCTCAGCTGTACGATTGAGTCTGACTCATCATTAGGAGCCGCGCAATTTGCTCCGTGATTTCGTTCCTATTTTCCCTTCTCTCTCTTCCAAGTTGTGTTGGTTTTTTTTTTTTTTTTTTTTTTTTTTTTTTTTTTTTTTAATGAAAATGTTGATTGATATATACAACTTACATGATGATAGAACATTTAAAAAAAAAAAAAAAAATTGAACTTCTAAAAATACCTGCTGGGACTTTCAAATTGGAATCAAGTAAGAAGAAACCACTGTTAGAGAGAAAAAGATATAATCACTTAATAAAACTATCCTCAATTGCAACCTTATGTGTTGCTTGATTTGCTGCTTGTCTAACGTGACTGACTGAATTTGAATTAAGAGAAAGCTTGAAAGAAAGAGGGAATATCATTAGTTATTGGCACTAAATTAGATGTATCATAGCCTTGCTATTGCAAGGATAGAATCTCCTTCAACTTCTACTTCAGCAGCTCACAACTCCTCTACACACATGGCATCCATTCTTGCAGCGATCAACTTCGCTCGCAACGGAGAAACCACCGTTGAGAGTATATAAATCCCACATCAGGGAAAGAATGGAATTTGTATGTGCTTGTAAGTAATTGGATATTCCTCATATAGCCAATTAATTTTATGGTAGAAGCCCAACTTTCTTCAACCACGTCTTGTGCCCACCTAGGAGAGCTGCACAATATTTCCTCTGCAACAATCGGAGGTTTGTTGATCTTATAATTTTTTGACTAGTTTGTTAAACTTACGCTACAATAAGAGGTTTTGTAAGTCAATTGGAACAAAAATTCGATTATATTCCCATGTATACATATGTTATGCACCGAATATGAAAGGCGAGGATTGAATGTGCATCTATGGATCTAACTGTCAACAAAGTACATATTAGAAATTTTCAAAGTTGTAAGGAAAGGAGTGTGTATTATTGTACCTAATGTGATACAGAGTGTATTATTGTACCTAATGTAATGACATGAAAAAGTATCCCACATCGGAAAGCAAGAAATTTCGCAGACTTGGAAGAAGTTGAGTTGCTCTTTGCCTTTATTACTAATTGGTTTGAGACAGAATCTCAACCTTCTTTTTATAGTACTAGAGTAAGTTCATCTATGTATGAAGCATTTTGGTTCACACGTTCGTCATGTTAGCTAGTTAAATTGTCTATCTGTTAGATTTTAAATTTTACCATATGTAAATAAATTACGAGGACGTAAAGAAAAGTCTCATATCAGAATGTTGAGAAATTTTGAAATTTCCCATAATCATAAATAAAGTTTCCATTACTAATGAATTTTAGGATAAAACCACAAGTTGAATTGTTTTCACCTTTCAAATATCATACTACTAAAAGAATGGAATCAAAGGGGTCCAAAGTCTACCGAATTTAGTGGTGTGTTTAGTCGGCTGAGAAAGGGTATTATCGTAATTTGAAGGAAAAGTCCAATCGAAAGGATTGGCCTTTGGTAAAAGCCCTAGTGGTTTGATACATATATTGTAAAGGATCATGGTCATTGTTTGATCCTTGATGGCTCTTTCTCCCTCGTGGTCCTAACCGGTCATGAGAGTGTAGCTCCAAATAAATAAGTTCCAACTTCATATGATAGAGTTACCTAATTAACTAAATAAATTATTACTTGTACTAATAAAATCAAGGATTTTGATGATTAAACTCTACACATGCTAAACTGTGCATGTGATTATAAGTTAGAGATGGTATCAAGGTTGATCCGCTAAACCGTTTATCTCGAAGGCCTTTTTGTTCTAACTTTGACATCTACCTTTGTGAAGTCTTGACTCGTAGAATATATATTTGAGTAGTCATAAAATTTCTAACAATTTGTTTGTTGGAGAAATTAGGTTATCATCCTTATTTTTTCTACTCCATTGATTAAGATTTTATTCCTTTTCTATTTTTAGTTTGTACCCATTTTTAATTTACAACCCTTTTTTTAAATTATACCAATTTTCTTTTCAGTTTCAATTTGTATCCATATATTAATTTCTTTTTGTGCTCATATTTTAAAAACTTTTTATTTGTAATCATGATTTTTTTAACCTTTTATTTTTACCCGTAATTTATTTATAACGTACCTATTTTTATTTAAAAATGTATCACTTTGTTACATGCAAAATGTACCAATTTTTTTGTTTTGTAAGTACCATTCCTTTTATGTAAAATGTATCCATTTTTAATGTAAAATCTATTTATTTTTTTTCTAAGATATACCCATTGTTTTTTATATATATATATAAAATGTGCCCATTTTGTTTTGTATAAAATGTTCCAATTTTTTGTATGTGCAATGTATCCACATTTTTATATAAATGTACCAATTTTTTATACGTAAAATGTACCCAAAATTTTATTACATAAGTGTACTCACATTATAAAAATAAATAAATACATAAATCTAAAATGCACCTATAAGCAATTTTTTGTTGTGGAAACCCATAAGCAAATTTCAATAATTAAATTGGTGGTGTAAATGAAAGAAAAATAACTTTTGAGTATTTATTGATACTATTACATCTCTTTTAATATTATGTCATTTATGTGGAGAGGGACTTCAATCTAAAACCTAAAATGCATAAAATTTGAGTCTACAACAGTTAGGGATCAGAAATCGTAGTTAAACTATCCATTTTTTTTCAAGTTCTATATTATTATAAAGCAGGGAGAGGGTTCAAACTGTTACAAAAATTTGGGAAGTTCCGAACTCATAACATATGAATGCAAACTCAGCACCCTATTATTAAACCACGTTCATAAAATTTATAACAGTCAAACTCTGAGTTTCCATACATATATAGCCAGGTTGCTGTGTTGAAAGGAACATTACATGGAAGATAATTACAGGGGTATCGATCAAAATTTACCGGAGTACGCACCTTCGGCTGGTTCAAACAGTATGGGCCTTAGCCCGCGTGTTGAGAGCCTTCTGACACTTGAAAGAGAGCAGCAGCAACTAGCTAACACTACCACTATTTGCTCAGAACAAACTAATTCAGACTCTGTTGCGTTATCTATCTCGTACAAATTAATCTCACATTACCAACATCCATCATTACATACGACGACGACACAGATAGAGATAGAAAGCAGAGAGAGAGAAAGAGAGAGAGAGAGAGAGAGAGAGAGAGAGAGAGAGAGAGAGAGGGAGGACCACCCAGCTTTGATATTTCATGGCTCACCTCACTGTCACCATATATATATATATATATATAATTCTAATTTTCCTACAAATTTCAAGGTCTTTTTGTCAAAGTTTCAAGATGAATATCCTTTTTAATTACAGTTACTATTCGAAGTTAGACTAAGAGGAGAGGAGATGAGAGAGTTTGAATTCAAGACGTTGTGTTTAAAGAGAAAACTCCATCTACCAAGACAATCCGGCCAGCATTCAAACTAATTAAAAATGAGCAATTTGCATGGTGTCTAAAACTTGTTGATTACGTGAACTGCATGCATAATTAATCTGTTGAAAGTTTTAAATTGTGGGAAGATGTAGGACAGAAGAGTGGGGAAGGGAATCAGATAAGGCTGTGAGTGCCTGAGCAAAGGACAACGAACCAGCTCGGATAACTTGTGATATCGACTGTGTTGGCATCCATTTGGTACCACGTACGCAACTACCTCCAAGATTTTTACTCCGCTGCTACTAATCTACTAGATTAAAAACCCTAATCTTACATGTAATAAACTATGTTCAAAATAGATTAAAAACTCTAAGTTATAGGGTCAAAGAATGTTAAAATCCTAGTGGGTCGTTGGATCGCTTTTTGGAATCTTGAAACTGGACGTTTGTGAATTGCAACGCTAAAACGTATAGCATGTTTGTCGATTTGTAGAATTACACGTTAATTTAGATGCTTATTTTACATGCATGTAAATTTTCAACTGTCTTGTGCAATATAAAATATGAATTTTCTGATAATACCAGTCGTACTCGAAATATTTTATCAGTCGAGGACCTTCAAATATTATGAAGATGAAGGAAACTCGATTTTAGTTTAGCTGTTTAGAGTTATTTTCCCGCGCTTTGCAAATAAAACCGACGAACGAACGCATGAAGGGCGGAGATCAAATCTAATCAGACAACGACATAAACCAAGATGATCATGATGATGCCCCTGTGCCACGTCTGACTTACCCGGGCCCCACCACCGTCCCTCCAAGTCTTGGCTTTAAGAATCCATCTGTCCTCCGTTTCGGAATTGGATCCGCTCCAAACTTTAGTGTCTGGAATTTAGAGTTTAATTCATCTGGACTGTACAAATTCAATCCAACGATCCTCATTAATTTATTTTCTTGACTTATCACATAAAACTAACGATTCTGATTTCTTTTACACACTAATCAGCAGCCCAAATAATTTGATTTTTAGATTCCGAACACTAAAGTCCGGACCGGATCTAATTCCCTCCATTACCCGCAAACAATGCCCCTCTCCTCCTTCTCTCCCAACATTTTACTTTTCTTCCCTTTCGAAAAATAAAAAAAACAAATTAATTAATATTATTAATATAATTTAATTATTCTTATATATATCCCTCAAGCCCTCACAGCTACAAAACCAGCTACTTGTGACTTCTTCTCATTTCACACTCACTCCACCCACTTGCAGTAAAATTCAAAAAATGCCCCAGCACCGCTGTACCGGCTGGCTTCCTCAGCCACCGGCTCCGGTGCTCCTTCTCCTCACGGTACTCACCCTCTTCCTCTCCGCCAACCCAGCCATTGCATGGCGGCCCTGGCCCCACCTCAAACACAACACCTCCGACCTCCGCTTCGGAGACAACAAAAAATTCGAAGGCTCCTCCGATTTCGTCAAGTTGCGCTACCACATGGGCCCTGTACTAACCGCCAACATAACCGTCCACACAATATGGTACGGCACGTGGCAGCCGCGCCAGAAGAAGATCATCCGCGAGTTCATCAACTCCATCTCCGCCGCCGGCTCCAAGCGCCCCTCCGTCGCCGGTTGGTGGAGGACCGTACAGCTTTACACCGACCAGACCGGCGCGAACATCTCGCGCACGGTCCAGCGTGGCGCCGAGAAAAACGACCGGTTTTACTCCCATGGTAAAACCCTGACGCGCCTCTCGATACAGTCCGTGATCAAAAGCGCCGTAACGGCCAAAACGAGGCCGTTACCGGTCAATCCACAGAGTGGGCTCTACCTCCTGCTCACATCTGATGACGTGTACGTCCAGGATTTCTGCAAACAGGTCTGTGGGTTCCACTACTTTACTTTCCCCTCCCTCGTCGGATACACGCTGCCGTACGCGTGGATTGGAAACTCGGCCAAATTGTGTCCAGGTACGTGCGCGTACCCGTTCGCCGTACCCGATTATATCCCAGGGTTAAAGCCGTTAAAGTCACCTAACGGTGACGTGGGAGTTGAAGGGATGATAAGCGTTATCGCGCACGAGATTGCTGAGCTGGCGAGTAACCCGTTTGTGAACGCCTGGTACGCGGGTCAGGACCCGAGTTTTCCGGTCGAGATTGCTGATCTCTGCGAGGGAATCTACGGTACGGGAGGGGGCGGGTCGTACACGGGCCAGCTGATGGACGATCACAATGGTGCCACGTATAATATGAATGGGATCCGACGGAAGTTCTTGGTTCAGTGGGTTTGGAGTCACATTTTAAATTACTGTACCGGACCTAATGCACTCGATCAGTAAAATTTTCGGGTCAGTAAAACTTTCGGGTTTTTACTGTTATATTTCCTTTTTTACCTTTTGTTGTTTGCATGGGTTGTTTTTATTGGGTGTTTTGGCGGGTTTGGGTCTTTGGGTCTGGGCTGTTGGTGCATGATTAGTTAAGGTAGTTAAGTTTGTTAATTATTGTAATAATGATATATTATATATTTTTGGTACACTGGTTGTGTATACAAATAGCTGTACTTCCCGTCTTATTCGTGTGTGTGAGTAATTAGATATTATAGCAAAAGTCAAAAAGACCGATTAGATAGAGTTTGTTTAGAACTGCTATTAAAATAACCGAAATCGTTTTTAGAGAAAATGTTTTTAGATTCCAAAAACATTTCAAGTGCTTCTCAGAATTAATTCTAAAAATATTTTCACTAAAAACGTTTTCAATCATTATAAAAGTAGACTTCACAATTTGGGACAATATTTGAGTTCAAAACTCTACGACACTCTAACGTATAAAATATCTCGAAGCGGACTATAAAACCCTTCAAATACAAACCCAAAACCCGACACATGTACTCTTCTCTTTGAATGTCTTCCAAAGAAGATAACATGTGTTGTAATATTACTTCTCAATTGGATAAAGGTATAAGGTATTGGTTGGTTCGAGCTAGAGGTTTCATTGGCCAAGTATTATCTAGTATCACAATGACCAACTAGTTTAGCGGCATTCGAATATTGAATCGGAGAAAATCTTATATTTGTGTCACACATAATACAAAAGCGTAAATTCGATACTAAATTGTAAGTCATTGATGATTATGGGTGCATTGTGAAAGACCAAAATGTATTGTATGGTGAGGAATAAAGGAGGAGTAGTATGGCATTTGTGTACTCGCTCGACGTATTTAGTGCTCATTACTCGCGATTATTACGTTTGGTAGACTTTGGTCCGACTTCTGCCTGCTGCCCTAGCAACAAGGGGAGTATTAATTTCTTGCATTACCAAAATTTAATCGTATTAATTATTTCCACTCGTTTTCGTAATCCGGTCTTCTTAAATTGATTTTATGTGTGAAAATTTGATTGGGAGACTGAAAACCGAGTGTATTTTAATTTTTGTTTACCATTCTAAGGTGGTGTGGAAGTCAGACATGTGGTTAGAGGAATGTTGAAATACCTCTGGTGAGTCTTTCTGGCCCATGAAATGGTTGGTTAACCGTGGATTGCCACCAGTTTGTCTTTTTTAAAAAAAAAAGAAAAAGTGGTTGTAATGCTTACCATTTGATTAGTTTAAATTTTGAAATTTGTGTAATAAATAGATTAAATCTTATTATCTAATGGTATTTAATGGGGGTGATGAACATTACCATTGCTTTAGAGCGGTGGACAAAAATATTTTCGATTGAAAACCATCTAGTTAATATGTTTTTTTTTATGGTAAAAAATTTTATTTAGAGAGAAACTTCGAGTACAACCGCTCTAGTAGAATCGAAGAGAAAAACATTTCTAGCAAATAGCAATAGTGGGTAAAGATCTATCCCAAATAAAAGTATCACGAATGAAGTGTCCAATGCTAGCAATGACCAGTACGAAAATTCGTCTTCGGAGAAAAATGAGCTCAAAATATTGAAGAATAAGATTGTACAAGTAATCTGATGTCCTTAGTAATAACCTTCTACTGCCAATACGTCATGCACTTATCCAAAATAAAATCAATAATAATCTTGAAGTCACGTTCAACACAAACATAATCTTTTATTTTTGCAAATTTCAGAACATCACGTAAAGCAAGCACTTCAACAATAGTAAATATTTTTTTGTACTCGATTGAGTGTGTATTGCTTTGGTTGTGGTCCACTTTTTAATGTCGAATTATTGTTTCGATCTGCATTTTCTTTATTTCGACTTTCATCATTACAACTAGGTTAAGTGCACATTTTTAATCTACACATCGAACTTTTTCCCTCTGTTACCCTAGCTTTGGTGATGTCACCTTAGGAAAGACAAGATAATAGACCCTACATCTTGATTTATTTATATTTAGTTACTCAAATAAACCGGTTTGATTTATTTATATTTACAGTTACTCAAATAAACCAATAAAAGGAAACATATGAAATTCCGCACTGTGAAAGAATTAACGTTCTTAAAGATGCTAGGCGCTAATCGGGCAACGGTGTTGGGATTTAGCACTTAAACGGCTAGGTAGGGTCCCATTTAGATGCTAGGTGGATTAGTCGGATTTAAGTAAATTTATTATTGTATAAGCAAGTGCCTATTTATAGTTAAAAACACATAATTGTACACATAAATTGCAAAATAAAATAACATATAGATTATAAAGTATGAATATATATTGAAAATATGAGAAATAAGCATATAATGAGTTTTCATCCAAGTGTTCAAGTCTCTAACATTTTTATTGAAAAAATGAAATGTAAAATGAAAATTATAGATTTTTTGTCTAAGTGAAAGCAGCGACTTATGTAGCAAGGCAGACGCCTAAGCGGGTCTATGTGCACTTTTCTAATTTTCAAACATCTAGGGACTAATCGGGACGATGAATAACCGTCTAGCGCCTAAGCTAGGCTTAGGTGGCACTAGGTGGGGAATAGTGGAAAGAATTCTATAGGTAACTCCAAATATCTAATTGTTAAATCAATTAACGTATAACCTTAAAAGAATCTCTACCTAATCTCATACTAACAAACAAATAATCAAAACGCTCGCGCGACGCACATGTTAGATATTAAATTTAAAGGATTCCCTACAAAACATACAATAAAATCTCCAACTCGAATGTATCACTTGATTTGGTATAGATCGATTTCATTGCCATCCACCACGAGACTCGGGTTCATAATTTTGGGAACGAAATGAAAATTCGGTTGCACTCATAATGTTTTTGCGATCATGTTTAAAGCATGCATGTCATTCTCACACAACTATTCAATTTCAACAAACTTTTGCCTCATTATATCTTTGTCTTGAGAGATTTTTTAATATGTTCGGAATATCATATATCATTATATAATTAAAAAAATACTTAAAAATTTTTGTTTTTTTAAATTATATGATAATATTTAATGTTCGACCCTGTATTTCGGAAATTTCGCGTATGCCCCTTCGGGTCCTACCTTTTACCACTCTTTTTTATTTTACTCCCCTCAGTTTTATTAGGTTTACTTTATAGGGATTTGAGCCCCTGGGCTTATGATGCATGACTGCTTTTTGTTTTTTTTGTTTTTTGAAACATTTAATATTGCATGCTTTTTGAAAGTTTTTACTTTATAAAAAGGGGCACATCTTGTTGCGTACTGGAACGAACCAATCCATGATCCATCGGCCAAAGCTGCTGCTGCCGAAAAGCACGATATCAGTGGCCACGTACTGTCTTGTGTTTCCACAATCTTAACTTGTCCACCAAGATCTCCAATTTGACAGGGGAGGGAACTCCAATCGATTTGTGTTTATTGTTTAAACTTCTAAGAATTGGGGACCAGCTGTTGTGCAATTAACGTTCAGAGAAAATTACATGTAACGAGATCGATAAGGTAATGTTATATTTCAAATTTATCATGTATCATTATATATGTCGTGATAATATATATATATTTTTTATATTGTGTTACATGATTAGTTTAGGATATAACTATCTTGATTCTTGGTGTTGGATGCATTTTGAGATGTATTCATATTATAAAAAGGCTACTACGTTTAATTTCTAAGGTGTGGGTTGTTGATTTTTAATTACAGATGCATGTGCGCCCCCCATAATAAAAATCAGTCATTCGCTCATGCACAAACAATCTAACATTCTAACGATGATAAACCATATAAGTAATGTAATAGTAAAACGTTACCATGAAGCATGCAATGTATTCAGATGTTCTAGGTTTGAACTTTATGAAAGTAAAATTACTCGAATTTACAACATAATGCGAAGCTTGTAAATAATTACACGTATTCGAGATTTTACTGTAGGCAAAAACAAACACATAATAGTATACTACACGTATATACAAATGACTTTCATGTGCAAGCATTTGGTTGTAGAGTTCAAATGGTTTGGCCAATTAGGGTTACCCCATCAAAAGTGGAAAAGACCATTTCCAAGTTTTAGCAGTCAAAATCATGCATTTAGATGTAAAGGGAAGAACCAGCTGGCTCTCACTCTTATTTACATCGACTTGCAAATTAAAAAATTTGACCTGCAAATAGAAGAATATTATATGATGATTTTCACTTTAATTAGTTTAATCAAGATTTGAAACATGATTGATTTTAAAGAGGCAGCGGCGCCTGAAACATGATCTTTGACTTTGGTTGAAGTGTTTTTGGGTATAAAATATGTCCCCCTTTTGTATTTTGTATGCTTTTGTTTTGTTTTGTTATCCTTCATCAGTATTCTCATCTTATGGTTTCATATACATGGTTAGTTAGACGTATCATTGTACTTTTCTGCTTACATCTGGTTAGAATCTCTATTCCAATCGGTAGTAGTAGTTTAGAATATCGATTCATGAACAAGTCGGATTTTGCAAATTGGGTTCTCTTTAGTTATTACGAGGGAATGCATCTAGAGGAGGAGAGGATTGAGTTGTCCAAATTGATTAGAATTTAATTAAGAATAATTTGAAGAGGGGGACCTCAAAGCTCAATGTCGTCTAATTCTCACACAAATTGGATTAAGTGTGAGGACTAAGTGGTAGGATTTTTTCCGTCTGCAAAACCAGGGCTAAATACATAGAATACTTGCAGGAGAATAAGGTTTACTGTAGTATAAACGGCTCAAGAAGGCTAGACGATGACACCCCCAAAAAAAATTCACTCAGACCCTAAATATTCGATTAATTAAGGCTAGAAGTGATTTTGGAACTAACTTGTAGGCTCCTTGGGGCAATCACGCCCTGAAACAAGGAAAATTTTGCTATCCTGGGTTCATTATCCACTCTCTTTATCTCTCTTATCACGTCATCATCACTAAGTTATTTGACGTGAGAGCTCGAGAGACCACATGTGAACCCTAATAGCAAGGTTTTTAACCTTAACATGAAAAGTTAAAGTGGATTACACACAAGAGTCAAATAATGAAGAAAAAAGGTACTTAACAGTTAACAACGATCGGAGGTCCTTCTCAAGTGATTATACCAAGCAATCATATAAGCAAACGTGAAATAAATTCAGACAGTTCAAAAGACGTATTTCATTCTCAATGGCTTTTGCGCAAGGCTGCGATGTACAGAGTACGTCGCTTTCCAAATCGTTTACATAAACATACGCTGTCCAGTTCGCTATGTTATCGCTATCGAACCAAAAGACGGGGATGCAACAAGAGAATAAAGAAGTTTTTTCTCCACTGAAGTACAATTGACTGGTGGGAAAAGTGCTTTCCAGGTATTACAAACAACTTAATGAATGTCTAAGATGAGCGTAAAAGATAAGTGGAATGGCTACAACACTGCAATATGGAAGCAGGGGAGGAAGCGTAGAAACTAAAAATTAAAAGCACGACACAAACAAGTAATCCTTTCATGAGGATGACAAGATGAAAGGCTGAAATTTTCCCAAGATAGTCGACCTTTTACTAATTCTAAAAATGACTGAAGGGTGCACAAGTATGGTATAAGCGATGTAAGTAAAAGGCACGGCAAGATGATAGGAAGGCCAGGAGCACAGGGCCAAACTGGTGTGTAAGATGTGATTGTGTGCAGATTATCTCATGAGGGTTCTCCTCGATGAGGGAAAGAGACAGGAGAATGGCTGGAACACTGCAATACGGAAGAAGAGGAGGGAGTATAGAAAGAAAAAGTTTGAAGCATAACACAAACGAGTAATCTAGCCATCATAAACGTGCTATAGTACCATTAACAACAAAGGATAGCAGGACGCAAGACTAAATGTTGCATGAGATCATCTGCTCCTTTCTGATTCTAACAATGACCGATGAGTACACTACTATGGTATTGGATATATAAGTAAAAGGCACCGTGAGGATGATAGGAAGGCCAGAGCACAGGGTCAAACTGGGTTGTGACATAAGATTGTGGCAGCTTCTCTCTTGAGCTGACAGTCCAGTTACAGAAGAGGCCGTTTGCTCATGAGGGTTCTCCTCAGTAGGGTCTAGAACCCATGTGATCCAACGATCTGCCTGATACCGATCTTATGCCACACGACTTTTAAAAAAAGCATGGTCTTAAGTATAGCTTGTAGAAAATGAATCAAGGGATGGTGCACAGAAGTGATTCAAGGAACAAATGGAAGCTGTTTGCATTTTTTTTTTCAGCTGATTCATCGTCCTATAAACCATGACAGCACTACAAGTGCAGCCTTAAAAGCTACTGAAATGTTTCCTCATTTACCTGAAAGTTTCTATGTATACAAAGTAAATATCATTTCTGACCTTTAAGTTCCTCATTCTGCAGATACTTCACCACTCCATATACAACACTTCCAGCAACAAACAAGCCGACTGTTGGTGTAAAAGATGGATATAAATACTTCACAAAGAACTTGTCCCACTCTTCTGGCAGGAACCCTGAAATGAAAGTTAACAAATTATCACAATGTGAAGAAAACATAAAGCATACCTTATCGAATCAATCACAGAAATAACTTCCAAGATTTTATTATCTAGTCTTTTGTTAAAGTTCAAGTAATCAATCATAATGGACAATGAACTGCGTTTCCAGATACGTGAAGAACGGATGCGATAATACTCCTTTAATCAGGGGGTTCAGTTGGTTACGTTATGCTCCAAAAGGAATGTGTTTATGAGGTTGTTGAATTCTCAAATTGGGAAGTTTGGAAGCCAGAAGTTTTGTCATTTGTCATGCTATGCCCGTTCTGGTCCATATCTTATGTGACTGATAGTTTATAGTTGGCGCTGAGCTTCGACAAAGAGGATCAAAATGGCCTTCTATGCAAACTCTTTCCAATACATGATATTCTCAATAACTTGTTGGCTTTTCCAATTAAGTCATAGGATGATCAGTAAGAGTGAAATATTATTCAACTCCGATTTTAAACTTCAGCCGCTCGTTTGGACAAACTTTCTTAAACCTAAACAATTTATGCAGCATCCACTGCTGATATGTCTTACCACTTAACAGTGGACATGAACAAGGGGTGGCTATACAGATTATACTAAGAGAACAGCCGAAAATGACTCAAGATACTAAATTGGATTCTAAACAATGAATATTGGGTTCTAACTTGCCAGCATGTTGGAGGACTCAAAAACCGCAAGGCCGAATTCAGAGTCACATTTAATAAGATCCTCAAAGCCAAAGCTTATAAATCTAGCAAGTCAATCCTAGTTAACGGAAATCACAATTCGAAATCTATCAAACCAAACAATTCCACAATTTAAACGATTCAAACTTTCTGACTCCTACAATTTCAACCAAATGCTAACAAAAAAATCCAATCTTTGCAAAATACCTACAAAATTTTCACATGATTCACATCAATTCAATCACAATGAACGGAAAGGTTACCCGAAGCGGCGAGAAGAAGGCCTTGGGCTAGGATGACGCCGCCGAGCCCCAACCAAGCGAGAACAAAAGCGCTCTCATTTGTTCCCATCTCTTTGGCCTTAGCCTGATCTTCTTCAGAATAAAGCAGGGGCTTTTCCACCGGCGACCTCCGAATCACCGCCGCCCTCCCTTTCTTCTTATCAGCGGCGGAATTCGGCTTGGCCGAAGAAGGAGGAGGCGGGCCGAAGCCTGTCCCGGCTGAGGTGGGTTTCTTGGGTGGGACCTGGGTGGCCTCGGCGGCGGGTTTTGACGGCTCCGATGGGGTCTGGGACTTCACTGTGAAGTGGGTTCTGGTTGAAAAGTGAAGCAGCGGAGGAGTGTGAGGAAGGTGATGATGATAGGGCTTGGTGGTGAGAGATGATGAGGGACACTGAATTAGCGCCATTTTCAGTTTAGTTCGTTAGAAGAAAATTTGCTTATTTTTGCTCCTTTTGTGTGTGTTGGCTATCAAAGCAAACGACGCGTCGTTCACTCTTGACGAACAAACAATTAGGTTTTAGTGCACGAAGGGACAGCAATGGTCTCAGCCCCATTGAAATATTTTTACACATTACGATTTTCGAGGTTTTTCAGTAGATTTAGGGTTCTAATTCAATATTTTTACTTTTTACTTAAATTTTTTTATCGGGTTTGATTTGAGATTGATGACTTTTATGAAGTTCAGGCAATTCGTTGTTTGTGAGCTTTGAGAAGGACCCTAGTCTGGAGGTCAGTGGAGGAAGAGAGGAAGGAAGTCAAAAAGGTTTAAGATTTAGGTTTAAAGAAAAGAACAACACCATACCAGATCCAAACGATGATAATTGATTGCTCATCACACAGTATAATAACTTTTATAAGATTAGAAGAACGTTTTAGATTAAAACTTTTGAACCTCTCTTGGACTAAAATTCTGATTCTATTTCTACCTCACCTTATGTAACATAATATTATATTATTAATTCGAAACGCTGACCTCCCAAAGTGGAGCAAAATGTGAAAAATTTGAGTTCTGTTAGCATTGGGTTCTTCTCCTCCACAATAACAAATTTTCAAATTTCAGGTGTTTGATTCAATTTTCTGCTCCACAAAAACAGTTTGAATTCTTTCTCTGCATTCCAAAGATGCCAAATCCTCGAAGTCTCCTGCTTTATCCTCAACGAATGCCTTTTCCCCTTTCTGGTTTCCTTAAACGGACATGAAACTCTCACACTGCACACTCTACTCCGCATGGCCTCGCTCGTCACTTTCCTGCAATTCCCTTCGCTTTCCTCCTCCCCAAACACCTTCTGCATCTCGCCAAAACGGTGCCCTCTCAATTTCAAAGATCAAATTTCAGTCAACGTCACTCAGAAGCCCGCCGGCGTAGCCGTCGTTTGGCTAAAGCACGACCTCCGGATCGACGACCACCCCGCCCTCCTCGCCGCCTCCAACCACTCCGCCGTGGTTCCAATCTATGTCTTCGATCATCGCATCATCTCCCGTAAGTCACACACTGACACTCTGACACACACACACGTGTATAGTGATGTACGATTATATCTATAGGTGGATTTATTGGAGGGAAACTGGGCAGGTTTTCCCGAGAAAATGCAAGAAACGGTTTTGATTGCTTTGCAAGATTTGAGAAGCTCGTTGAAGGATAAAGGTGCGAACTTGATGATTCGGTTGGGGAATGCCGAAAATGTGATTCAAGAGCTTGTAAAAGAGGTTGTTATATCAATAGCTTTGCTTATTGTGTATGAGGAGAAACAACTTCCTGCCACGGGGATGCCATTGTGGCGGAATTCGAAGATAATCACGCAGAAATGCATCAAAATGCGGGATTGGATTGGAATTCCGCCACATCAGTATCCGAGCTGTGGGTAGGTTTCTCTATTGTATGAGAGACTAGTTGAACCACTCATCATTGGAGAGGATTGCAACAGGTTCAGTTTGTTAGTACTGTATATGCCGAGGAGGAGGTGGAGTATGGCTTGAGGAACATGACTGATAGTGTCAGGGACACCTTGGTGGCAATGCGGTCTTCCCCCAACTTTGTGCTGTGGCGGACTCCATTTTATGATGTGAAGGTAGTTGTCGTTGTCTTGATTGGTTTTTTTATTTGTTTTTGAGGTGCTGGTTGGTGATTCACTTAGTTACTATTGAGTGATTGGTTGGATGAGTGTGATTTTGTAGAGCTTGAAGGGTATTCCAGATTCATACGATGAATTTACCAAACTTAGATTGCCAGTAACTTTGCCACTATCGGCCGCAACATTAACTGATGGAAACATGGAAGTGGATTGGGGTACGAGTTCCCATATTGTTAATTCTTCTGCTTATACTTCTACTTGATTAGTTTCGCTACTAAATTTGTCAAAGATATATCTTGCAAGTAGTAGTGGCCATAATCGCTTTACTATGATTCAGGTCCTATCCCCACATTTAATGATTTGAAACAATTTATCAAAGAAAATCCATGCAAAATGGAAGAGAGTTGGAATTCAATGAAGGAGATGTGCGCTGAAACGATTTTGATGAAGGAGTTTTTGACGCCTGGGCAAAGAAATCTAAACAACTCGAGTTCTAGACATGTCCAGTTCCCATCAAAGAAGCGCAAGAATTCTATGTTTGTCACTACAAAGGGAAATTCTCTGGGAGGGGGGACGATTAACGCATTGAAAGCTTTGGTTGCATACTTGAGATATTTGGAGGGAACAGAACGTGATCACTACTGGTGGAAGTATGCGGTCATATTTTACCGTACAAAAACTTAATGATCAGATATTCCTTTCCACTTCATTCCTGCATTAACTAAAAGGTTCTTTTGGGATAATCTTGTTGCAGAATACATGAACAGATGCCCTGTGCTGAAAGTCGGGATGGAGCTTCATTTACTACACTCTTTGGTCCTGCCCTTTTTCTTGGCATCCTATCCAGAAGAAGAGTATATTTTGAAGCTCTCAAGTATAAGAAAGAACAAGATTCTGGATTTCTGTCTCCTTTTGGATATTCATCCGCAACAATTGCCGCAACTGTTGATTCGGTGTGCTCAATGGAGGTGCTGTACCAGTTATGCGAAAATTGTATTTATGTTTTGATTGAAGTGGCTTTTCGGAGACTTACCTAAGTTGCTTTCTTTGCAAAAAAACATTATTTATTGCATAACATATTTGTAAGCAACTGAGTTATGTTTTGTGACAGTGGTATTTGCTTGTTGCTCTAAAAAGTCAGTTAAGTGATGACAGAAGATTTTGTATTCGTATCTGGAGATGGAAAGGCTATCTAATTCAGGTATTTTGTTCGAAACTGATATTTTCTATTTCAAAGATATTCTGTGCCTTGTAATCTGGATAAATACTTGGCTAGCTTTATGTTGTAGATTGGGGTACCTACTCTTTCACTACGATACTACTATCCTTTTGTCAGTATACAGTTGTGGGTGAAGAAGGTCCTGCTACTCTTCTGGTTCATGGTTTTGGAGCCTTCTTGGAGCATTACCGTGACAACATACGCGCCATTGCTGAAGGTGGAAACCGAGTATGGGCCATCACACTATTAGGATTTGGCAAATCGGAAAAGCCAAATATTGAATACACTGAACTCATGTGGGCTGAAATGCTTAGAGATTTCATTATTGAAGTTGTGGGTGAATCAGCACATCTGGTTGGGAACTCAATTGGTGGTACGTTTTAAACTAGAAACGAGATGATCAACTTACCTAAACAATGTCTTACAACTTACCTAAAAAGTTCTGGTGGCTTATCTGCTTTAATTTTTAGCTTTTATTCTCCAGTGTGCATATCTGTTGTGTATCTTATTGTTATTTGTTACGATTTTCTGTCTCCAGGTTATATTATTGCAATTGTCGCTCGTCTTTGGCCTGCTTTGGTCAAATCTGTGGTTCTTATCAACAGTGGTGGGAATGTTATTCCAGGATATTCCTCTGTGTTGTTCGCCAAAGTAAGCTTGATTAAAAATGTGCAAGATCCCTTTCTTTCGAACGATTTTGACAGTCTCATAATATAGTTTTCTGTTTCAGGAGAGAAGAACTTCGGGTGCTTCATGGCTAGGTGCTAAATTCCTTTTGTTCTACTTAAGGTTGACACTCAAGGACATAGTGAAGAATTGCTACCCATCTGTAAGTATCTGTACTGTCTTTTTTTTTTTAATATGGTTCACTTTCTTAGTTTTCGTTTGTGTGTTTTACTACCCTTTCTCTGCAGAAAACAGAGCGAGTCGACAATTGGCTTATTGATGAAATGCTAAGAGCAGTATCCTCTTCCATGTGAAGTATATTTATTTTTCTCTAGGAACTAGCAATCGCAGTTGATTTTTCTTATACAAATTAAAAAACATGTAACTAGTCAAAAGTCTCCTTAACATAACTTGAAAGTCATATGATCCCGGGGTAGTAGTGGTCCTTGAAAGCGTTTTTAGCTTCAATCTCTCAATCCCTCTTAATTATCTCTTGGATGAATTCAAGGACAAAGTTATGATTATACAGGTAAATTATTAAGTCTTAACAAGCAGAGAGAAATCTCTCTCTTCTCTTTTGATTTTGTTTAAAACCCCTTAATCCTATTGTTTTGTCTGTCTGTCTCGGTTAGGGGATGAGAGATCCAATATCGGACTCCAAGTCAACAGTGACTATGCTTAAAGAGCATTGTGCTGGGTTCATCATCAAGGAGTTGGATGCCGGTGTGTAAAATATTTCCATTGTTGTATGCTCTGTTTATGCTCAAAAGTTTCATACAAGTTTATTCCTTTCATTGTTCTTGAAATTAGGTCATTGCCCGCACGACGAACTGCCCGATGAAGTGAATTCAATTATTTGTGAATGGATAGTGAACCGGAGCAGTAAACTTCCGGCTGTTAGCTTCAAGTAGATTACGTAAATTATCTGTACCGTTTGTTCTTTTTCATCCATGTCAAAATTCAAATGCAAGTTTCTTGAAATCAAATGGCTTTGTTGATTATTCTATATGCTACAAAATCCATGTTGATGTATAAGAAAACATGGTGCTCCAACATTGCCCGAGCAACGCCAGTGCAAAATCCCTACGGCTGTAAGGGCGGCTACGCTTGACATTGTTTCCTACAACATAAGCACTTCAGCTCCCTCAATTTCATTCCTTGTGTTGCTGCTTCAGAACTCAATGTTCACGACAGCAGCTGTTCACTATACCTCCTCTCCCAACTTCATTTTGTCGCAAAGACAGGTGATATCAGGAACTATTCTTCCATTACAATCCCTCAAAATCCCAGCACCCACAAGACTGTTCAACAACAGCGGATCCTGTCGTTAACGACATTGGATCCTCATGACACAGCTTCTGCCATATCGTTGCGGCAAAACATCTGGTGTACAAGTAGCTATAATAACCTGCAATAATGTACACTTATAAGCTGTGAAAACAAACTTGTACACCATACGAAGGGTACTATTACTAATAATGTTCAAATTCTTGATTTGAGGTACTTCTGAAGCTCAACGACGTTCAAATGGGGTTACATTAAAAGCATCATGTCAAATATATTCAAGTTCAACCACGTCATCGTATAAAACGGATGATAGGAAAATAACATACTCAAAAAGGTTTGAAGGTCTTTCAGCTAAATCAAAAATACCCTCGTCCCTCAAAAGTGTTGGTAATCCTGCCGAAAATTAGAAAAAAAAGTTGCATTTTGAATTTATGATAAGGAAGAGGAAGTGATATAGCTTGTATGTCATAAGGTATTCTTAGAGTACCGTTCTTGAAAGCAAAGAATGGAGAGCGTGTCCAAACTTATGAAACCTTAGCCTTGCAGTTGATGGATCGTGCGAAGGAGAAAAACAACAGACAAGAACAACAACCTGTGCACCAAACTAGAGTTAAATCGCAGTTGATGAATATTCATGAAATAATCGATCCCACAAAGTTCACATTTTAGCCGGAGCTCCCGCGGTTTATGACCTCTGTCTTTGTGGGTGACAATGTTTTCAAATGTGTAGGTACTACAAACAATTCACAGGAGAAGGTTGAAGGAATCATGCTTATAAGTTGGTGGGAGTATTAGACCTCAAAGCTTCTAATGTGTTGTAACAAGTTAACTAACAAAACTTGGATAGTGAGGGTCAAATGTACAATTTAGTTGGATGTTAAATTGGCCTTCCAATTACCACTTTTGCAACATCAAGGGCACAAATTAGGTGATCAAAATTCAAATTCCTTAAGCAAACCCCGCCTTATTTTCCAGTAAGTTATATGTTTTGGTTTTTTTTGGACATGATAATATTCAAAATGATAATAGCCATTTTCTAATGTGTTTGGATTGCAATAATGTTTTATTAAGTGGGTCAGGCAGGCTTGACCCATTTCATCTCTAGGTTTGATGTAGTTTTCGTTGTAAGAATCCTAAGATTATGAGATGGAAAATTGATATAGCTTATTAGCATCATCAAAACTTATGTTATTACCATCATTACTTGCATTTTTACCATCTAGGTAGATTGGTACATTGTAAATTGTACATTGGTAGGTGAGTTCTGTTTCTGATGCTTTTTCAACTAAAGATGTTGTTAGGTGTCTCATCATACTTCCGATGGATAAATGGAAAAAAATAAAAGTAAAAATGAGGTGGATGATTCTGCGGAGGAGGAGGAAGGTGAGTTCGATGACAACGTCGATTCGGGTTTTCAGGCCCGAGCTTGGTCCAGACTCAAAGGAAGTACAAGTGCGAGACTTGTGACAAAGTGTTTTGATCTTATCAAGCGCTTGGCTGACACAAAGCAAGTCATAAGAAGAAAAAAAAAAAAAAACTTACGTTATTATCGTTATTACTTGCATTTTTACCATCTAGGTAGATTGGTACATCGTACATCGTACATTGTACATTGGCAGGTGAGTTCTGTTTCTGATGCTTTTTCAATTGAAGATGTTGTCAGGTGTCTTATCATGCTCTCGATGGATAAATGGAAAAAGATAAAAGTAAAAATGGGGTGGATTAGTGCTTGGAGGAGGAGGAGAATGAGTCCAACGACAGCATCGGTTAGGGTTTTCGGGTCCGAGCTTGGTCCAGACTTAGGGCGAGTACAAGTGCAAAACTTGTGACAAAGTGTTTTGATCTTATCACGAGCTTGGCGGACACAAAGCGAGTCACAAGAAAATCATCAAAACTTACGTTATTACATCATTACTTGCATTTTTACCATCTAGGTGTATTGGTACATTGTACATTGGTAGGTGAGTTCTATTTCTGATGCTTTTTCAACTGAAGATGTTGTTAGGTGTCTTATCATGCTCTCGATGGATAAATAGAAAAAGATAAAAGTAAAACATGGGGTGGTTAAGTCCTTGGAAGAGGAGGAGGATGAGTCCGACAACAACATCAGTTATGGTTTTCGGGCCCAAGCTCTGTTCTGGACTCAAGGGAAGTACAAGTGCGAGACTTGTGACAAAGTATTTCAATCTTATCAAGTGCTTGGCGGACACAGAGTGAGTCATAAGAAAATCATCAAAAACCCAAGTGTTTGATGACTATGAAGAGGAAGAAGATAAAATATTTTGAGGATGATGATGGACAAGATTGTAACTTGGCAGGGCCACAAGCTGGGTTAATGTTTTATTAAATGGTTAGGTCAGCCTGACCCACTTGATACCTTGGTTTGACATAGTTTTCGTTTTAAGAATCTTAAGACTATGAGATGGAAAAATCGCTATAGTTACTTGTCGGTATTCCACCATTCAATGTACAAATTCCAAAATTTACCTCAACAAGTTGGTTGGTCGGAATGAAGTTCATTTCGTGAAAGCTTGATAAAGTTCATGAGACTCAATATCAAGTGGTTGGAATGACGATTATATGCAATGGCCCAATGGCGGAGGGTGGAAACGACATCAACTTTTTGGTCAAACGACATTGCCTTTATATTTCGGTCAAATGATGCTGTTACTCTTTTTTTATTTTTTTTATTTTTTTAGTTTTATCAAAATCAACGTTGTGGTTTTTTTTGTCTTCAAAAACGATGACACATATTTGAGTCTGGACGGATCCTAGTCTACACACACGCATACACACACAAATATAGGACATTTCATCAAATTAACCAATAACTTATTGTACCATAAAACGGTTGGTAGATTCTTCAAGCTCAAAACATGGATACATTCTCTTCTTTAAAACCACAAAAAAAATTAAAATAATAGATATTAGGCTCAATAACATCATAAATATATTATACAAAATTTAACCATAAATACATATATACACCAAATATTGTTGAAAATGCTGATGGGTAGTGAATGCCCACAGTGTTTTGGTGGAGCTTTTCAATGCCCTCACAGATTGGCTTTTAACATTTGCATTGTTTATGACTAAACATATACATTGTCAATTCCCATAACAGTTTGAAAACTGACTTTGGGAATTCAGGATATCATTTTGTCAAAAAGTGTGTTGTAAATTTCAAATGTAGTAATACGAGTTGCTCTATAAATAGAGCACTCGACTGCAATCAAAGATACAGAAAAATATAAGAAGAAGAGAACAAGAGAAAAATATCAGTAACATCATCTATTCCTCTGTCTTTATTTGTTATCCTCTTGTACTATATTTTTAGTGTGACATTTTACATCTACCTTGCACCTACCATTAAAAAGATTATTTCTCTAACTTTGACCTATTTATTTATAACAAATATAACGTTTTTAATGTGCAGGGCCACGGGCTGGGATAATGTTTTGTTAAACAGGCCCGATCCGCTTGATACCACCTGCGAATATGACGTTTCGTCCATACGTGCGAATATACATCCTTACTTACGCTAGTCCTCACCGCAGGCGAACCCGCACGAGATACATGTTTAGCGGGAAGCACGTTTCAAACCCCGCAACCGATTCGTGTCGATCTCTAACGCCCTCTCTCTCCTTCCCGCGAGATAATCTCCACACAGCAACCTCTCCCTCTCTCTCTCTCTGTCTCTCACAATCCCATGACGAATCCGGACCCGAATCCAAACCCGAACCGTCGTATCTATGTCGAGCCCTCCTCCGCCTTCCTCAAACCCGCCGCCGATTTCCAACTCCGACGAAAAAGCACACCTCGGAACGACGTCGTCTGTCTCCTCTCCCTCCAGAGCCAATCTCCTTAAGATCCCTCCCATCCCGATTCGGCGAAGCCCTAGTCAGACGATCCACGAAGACAAAGAATTCGAAGAGGGATACGAAGACGACGAGGAAGATGAGGACGATTATCGTGCGGAGGGCAGAGCAGACGCCGCGCCGATCGTATTGGCGTCGTCGCTCGGCCTCAATCACATTCGGACTCGATCGGCTCCCTCGCCTCTTCGATTCTCTTCCTCCGTCTGCGCGCCGTTGAATTTCGGCGATGAATCGAGTAGGGTGAAGTACACCGTCAAACCAAAACCTAAACACGTGCCCTTACAACCAGGTACATATATATATATATATATGTATATATTTTTAATTTATATTAATTTTTTGGGAAATCTTGATTGAGTTTCATCAGATACATTTAAGTGTATTGTTTAAAGTTTTAATTTGCGATTTCTTTATAGCTAAATCTGTGCAGTGGAATCAATCAAAATCGCTCAGAAATGCATCACTGCTCAATCCAGTGTTGGAGGTAAGGAAATTTTAAGTGAATTATGTGTGTGTGTGTATATATATATACATATATATATTATAAAATTACGTATATATACATGCGCACTTAGTTCGTTGGAGAAATGTAGGTAGCTCACAAGCTTGACAATGCTGTTGTTTGTGTGTAATGTATACATTGTAGGGTAGTCATGCAGCCTTTTCAAAGGAAATGCAGTCACCGCGTTTTCAGGCAATACTGCGTGTCACGAGTGGAAGAAAGAAGAGAGTACCTGAAATTAAGAGTTTCTCTCATGAGCTCAACTCCAAAGGAGTTCGACCATTTCCTGTGTGGAAGTCTCGTGCATTTGGGCATATGGAGGTAATACTATTGCCTTGCCCTGGCTTATATTTTTTGTTTGGCCAGTCTCATAAATTATCCGGCTACTATAAATTCTTTTAGGAGATTATGGTGGCGGTCAAGGCAAGATTTGAGAAGTTAAAGGAAGAGGTTGACTTTGATTTAGGTGCATTTGCTGGTGATTTGGTTGGAATGCTTGAAAAGTCGACACAGTCTCATCCTGAATGGAAAGAGAACTTTGAGGATTTGTTGGTTATTGCTCGGAGGTGTGCAAAGATGTCTCCTGGTGAATTTTGGGTCAAGTGTGAAGGCATTGTTCAGAATTTGGATGACCGGCGTCAAGAGATACCAATGGGGGCCCTCAAACAAGCCCACACCCGTCTTCTTTTTATTCTCACTCGGTGCACACGGCTTGTGCAGTTCCAGAAAGAGAGTGGCTATGAGGAAGAGCACATTCTCAGTCTTCATCAGCTCAGTGATCTTGGAGTTTATCCAGAACAAGTTGTGGAGGCTACACAGCAGAGCTATAGTGGTTC